GACATAAATCAATCTATATGATATCCATTAATGTTTAAATATCGGGAAATTGGGTTGACGTTATCTGTTATTCGTATTTTGATTATTTTCTTCTTCATTTATTTGTGTCTTATGTTTTCAAATTTTATATTGTAAGTATATATATTCCTGTTTATAATTTTACTGTTAAATGTTTACTTTTCTGTACTATTCAACCTTTTTTTTAACATGTAGGGAATTTGTCGGCATTTTAATTTAAGAAAAATTAAAATACAGTTATTAGAGCACATATCAAAGTTAGAAAATGTATTACCTTTATATTTTTGTTAGACTTTTTCGAATTTTTCTTTTTCATGTTTTCTTGTCAATTATATAAATTTAAAAAAAAACGTGTTTTAGTTTTAATATTTATTTCGTTCGCAAATAGAAGAAAATAAAGTCAAATTAAACAAAATTAACACCAATGATTTAAAAAAAAATGTATTTCAATGTAATATTTTATTTTTAGAGAGACATATTAATATATTTAAATTTTTTAAAATAATAAATATTCGAAATTTATTTATAAAATTATTGTAAAACAATTTCATCAAAGTGTAAAATGAAAAACAAGAAAAAAAAAAAAAAAAAAGGATGGGGGAGAATATTTATCCTTTTGTCAAATTTATGTTTCAATAAAATAATTGACTTGTATCAATATTAAGGTTGAAACACAGGCTTCAGGAATAAGTTCTTTTATTTTTTTTCCCTTTCGGGCTTGAAATTCCTTTTACAAGAGAAATTAGTATACAACAAGAATTATTGTATCTTATTTTCTCCCGTAGAAGGGTTTTTATGACATATCCCTGGGAGCTTAATGTTTGCAGCTTTATATATATTTTTAATTATAATTGTATCTAAACGATTTTTTTTAATCGCGAAATATATTTTACTGAAATAACAGATTGTAACTCTTGTTATGTAAACAGACTACATATCAATATCCTTAGATGTTTTTCTTTATATTTGAAAGTCACTTAGCTCTTTTGTTCAATATAAATTAAAGATTGCGTGGCATTCATACAATAAGATGGTAATCCATTAAAGAAAATTCAAATGCAAATCTGTTTTCGTATAAATTTGAACTCATTCTGAATCTTGTTAATAATATTTAATGTGGCTTTAGTATATATACTTCTTTTTAATACATTGATAGTAGAAGTACTTGTAGCCAATTATACTTTTACTCATGTTTTCCATAAACGTATATATATCATTTAAATCTTGTTATTATATTTTAAAATACCTCTTCTCTGAATGTGTTGGGAAAAACCAGACGCCCGCCTGGCGGGAGGGTTCGGAAGAAACGACCTTAGGACAGGTGGGCAGGAGTGACATTGTAATTTGAATCGAGTCGGCTGCTAGCGGATTCTCTCCCCAGACTGCTTCGTCTTCTTCGCTTTATCTTAAATACTTTCACTTGTGGATAGCTTGTAAATTTTAATATTGATTCTGAAGAAACTGGAATAAACGCTCGCCTCCTTAAGCAGAGGTAATTTATATATTAATTAAATATCGCGCATGAATAAAACTAATGTGGCATGCATGATGATAAATTTTATGTGTGAGAAAAAATTGAGAACCCCATCCTAGAAAGTTCAGGAGCTTAATCTATACTAACATATCAAACTTTATAATGAACTTCTATAAAAATGCTCTCTCTTCCTCTTTGATGAAAAATAAATTACAAATTTAGCATGTATATAAGTATTGTATGATAGATACAAAGAAAGTTGGGAAAAAATCTGGTCCAAATCTATAACAGTGTAGTGGTAAGACAATTTAAACAATTTTATTGATTCTTTTAATCAAATTTTACAAAGGTGGAAAAATATATAATAAAATAGTAAAAGAGCATATAAAGTCTAGGGGAATATATATATAGTTGTGTACAAATGTCTTCAGCAAGGAAGGCTTCCCCACCTTGAGAGAAGTCCTCCACCAGACAAGGAGGGGGTCTTCTTGTACACTCCTTAGTTCCACGCCGAGGAAGTACCTATAGATGCGCGTCTTGACAGACGCAAGGATAGCCAGGGCGTCATCGTTTAGGCCATGTCCGAAGACCCAGCCCTGCAGGTCAGAGGGCAGCCCGATTATGGTAAATGCCTCCAAGAGGCCTGATGTAGCGGCAGGATCAGTACCAGTGAACCAGCGGTGAACCAGTGTAGTGGTAAGAGAGAGGTGGGATCAGAAAAAAGAAGGTGTAGAGGTCAAATCAATTTTGGTCACCACCTGATATACAAGCGTAGGCATAGGAAAGCTTTAACAGCTAAACAGCCTTCAGTCAATGATTTATTAATACATGACATGTCTTTTGTGTGTAAAATGATCTGCCCAAACATTTGTCTATTTATTTACAAATACAATTTATTATTTAGTATTTATATAAATGCAATTTTAAGAGGAAGCATTCTTATTAATACATTTTTGTTCATTATCATCAAATATAAATATATCAAACACATTTTTTTTTGCAAAGAAATACTAAGATTTTTGCTATGTTAAATTATTTATACTTTTATATAATCATTACATATTATATAAAACGTTCACACTCAAAATTCCTTATGATTCATAAATATATTACAAATAAAAGTGTGAATGTGAGGAAGTGCTTACCTAGGTCTGGTTTGGGATAAAATTGCAGCTAATTTGTATTCTCAATTAATTTCTAACTCTTAGATCAGAATCAAAAAGCAAAAGTGTAAACGTTTCACTATTTTGACACTGCTCGCTGTCTTTTAATCTATTACCCATTAATTAAATAATATATTATACCACAATACAGTACAACCTCCATGAGAGGACATTCTCGCTATAGGACACCTTTCTACAAAGGACAGTTATCATTGTTTAAATTATCATTATTACTATTTTTAGAAATTAGGAATAGGTAAGTGGACACCTCTCTCTAAAGGAAATTTTGGATCTGCAATTAGATGTCCTTCGCAGAGAGGTTCTGCTGTATAATTAAACAATCTCTACTAATTTTTATATCTTTGTGTGTTGAAAATTACAAATATATTGGATTTTATCATTTGTAGTGCTTTGAAGACATTCAAGCCCTGCTCTAAATGTTTTGAATAAAACAAAGAGAGATTGAGATTGAAACTTCTTTATTACATCGTTCATATAAGATTAGATAAGGTTAAATATAAAATAATTGAATAAATATAAATAAATAAGAATATATAGATGAATAAATATTAAAATAATATATATTTATATATAAACAATACTTAAAGTTGCACCGCATAAGTTTCTTCTCTATGAAAAATCAATATTTTATTTCAAAGAGAAATATCTAGTATTTCTAACTTTTTTGAATGACGTATGAAAGGGTGGAAATATGAAGCGTAATGGTCTATATATAAAATTGGATGACGTATGAAAGGATGAAAATATGAAGAGTAATGGCGAACGGAAAAATAAAAGTGTCCAGGGGCGGGAAACTTTATGTATTGTTTATAATCATACGCCGCAGTCCTTTATAATGTATATTTATATATACAAAGTCTTCATTGTTGACCCCCTCGATGTATCCATCGCTGGACTCGGTGACGGCAGGCCCGAGTGATCTTATCTCATCGATCAAATCTGCATTAATCCTGGTCCATTGTTCCCATAACATCGGAGGTGAAAGATTTTCCAGGTCTTCCAACATTTCATCGAAGAACGTTTCCACTCGATTGAAGAACAAGTCTGACCGTAGCGGCTTGCCGATGCACGGCTATGTAGAAGCTGGTTCTCCTACTTGGATCATGACGACACGGTGGTCCGAGTAGGCGTAGTCGATTATTTGGTAGTGGGTGACGCGGTCGCAGAAGCCCGATGGAAGTAGGATTCTGTCCAGACGGCGCGCGTCAACCAGGCTTCAGATGTTGGTAACCCTGGTGTGCTCCAGTGCAGCATCGAAGAAGGTGGCGATGTCGACGAGGTCTGCTTGGTCCAGGAGCTCCGCGAGGGCTTCTGCTGAACCCGAAGCCAAGTCTTCCGCCGACTCCTCGGAGATATTCAGGTCACCGAGGATCCACGCACCTTCTTCATGCGCCAAAGCTGCGATGGTCTGGAGTTGGCGGCACCGCTCTTCAGGAACATGAGTCACGTAGAAGTTAACACACGTCATGGAGACTCCCCGGACGGTTAGGTCGATTACACCAACCTCTTGCCAGGCCATAGGATCTGCTGCGGTAAAAAACAACCCCAGGCGCGAAGACGTAGGCGAGGCCTGATCCCACTGTGGTCGTTGCGGATGCAACGACGGCGCTGTAGCCGTGGCAGAGATCTCCTGCGTCGTCCAGGGATATGGTGCTCATCTCCTGCAGGAATCAGATGTCAATCTCATGCTCTTTGAGAAAACAGTAGAGCTAGATTCTTCGGCGAAGAGCTGCGATACCGCGAGTGTTCAGGGTCGAACTGAGAAGTTCATTTAGGCTGTCTAGCAGAGTACCTGGCGCGAGAGAGCTTCTTGTACAGGGTACTGCTCGTTTCATCTGTAAGAGCTTCGAGGTTTCACCGCTCATAAGCCAGGCTCTTCCACTAATTTATCAT